CCCCCTGTGAACAGGCCCAAGGCACCGGGCTTCCAGGCGGCGCCCGGTGCCCATGGCTGGGGGCAAAGAGCTTTACATTGTCGAAGAGTTGCCAGAGCGCCTCAGCCAGCTGCAGGGCGATGGGGCTGGCTATTGCTATCTCTTTGTTGAAGAGCAGAGAGCTGAGAACAACGACGGTCATCTCAACAATGTCTTCATCCACGGCCCGCAGGAGGTTGCCAAGGCTTTCAGTCAGGCTGTACATTCTTTGGTTCTGTGTGGAAAACAAGGCTGGGCAACCCGACGCTGCTGCTGCTGCTGCAGGGCTCAGAGGCCGAAGGCCTGTCCCAGAGCACTCAGGCAGCTGAACAGTGACCCTGGAGAGCTGGGAGCAGCTGCCACAGCTCCCAAAGCCCAGCCAAGCCCAAGGGGCTGCTTTCCCCAGCCCCAGGCTGCCAGCACAGCTTCAGCTGCTGCCTCCTTCTCACCATCGAGGGGTCCTGGCTGAGCACCACGAGGCCTCTGAGCGCCACGCGACGCATCTCTCTGGACCGTCTCTTCAGGTGCCTTGTCATGATCTGCAGGACCTTTTCACCGCATTCACTCAAGTCCAGGCAGTCCAGGACCTGAAAGGCACAGAGCAGTGACAGGAGTGCCCAGCTGGCAGGAGCTCAGAACCGCACAGGGCTGAGCCAAGGCAGCAGCACAGGGCACCATCCCAGGCAGCTGCGGCTCCAGAGGGCAGAGGCGTGGGAGGCAGCTGAGCGAGGCAGCGCTGGCCATCGGGCTCACCTCCACCAGGAACGTCAGGGCGGGCAGTTCCCAGTCTGAAATGTCTTGGCTGAGTAGGTCAAAGAGGCAGGATGCGATCATGCAGCGCCAGATGATGGAGACACGGCGCATCTCCCTGGGGGGGAGAAAAAGGCACCATTGCTCCTGAGCTGAGTGGCCAAACCTCTCCCAGGGCTGACTCACAGAGGTCTGGTCTTCTCCCGAGCACGGGTGCTTTGGGAGGCAGCTGCTCCAGGGCACCCTCCTCTCCCAGCCTTTTCAAATCTGCTCATCCCTCCCTTGGGGACAAGGCCCTGCCGCCCATGAGCACGGGGACTGCGTGGGGTGATCTGGGCACAAAGGAGAGGGGCGGTGGGGAGAATGAGGTCTCACCTGGCCAGCAGACCCACTGCATAGTGGTGGGTGTGGGCACAGAGCAGCATGTTCCAGGCACACCTGCGTTCCATTGCTACCACCACGTCATCGTACTGCATTTGGCAGAGCAGGGCCTTCAGGGTCTGCAGTGCAAAGCTGTGTGCAGAGCAAAGCCCAGGTCACGCTGGGAGGCCCGGCTCCTGCCCTGGGAGCATGGCAGGGATGGGGAGGCTGGGAAGACTGGGATGGAGCACCTGTTGGGGTGGGCAGCAAGGTCGTGTTGCTCCTGGCATCTCTTCCAGAAGGTATCCACCTCTTCTGGCATATCCAGCGTGCTGATGTAAGCTTGGAAGAGCAGACGCAGAAGGAGTTTGGGGAAATATACCTGCACTACAGGTGGGCACCAGGTCAGATTGAAGACCCTCCACATTGTTACTGTTGCCTGCAAGAAATGAAACACCCAGAGACAGCAATCAGTGCCAAGACATGCATGTGGCATGGCCCCGGCCTGCGAGGGAGAGGCCAAGGGAGACACAGGGGGAGCAGCCGGCCTGGTGGCCCAGAACCTTGCCCCCAAGCCAGGTTTCAGCCCAGTGCCTGAGGCAGGTAGATACAGCTGGGGGCACGGCAGAGAGCTAGCTGCTGGAGAGGTGGCCTGGGGGCTGGCAAAGGCATCTTCCAGAAACTCACAGCCAGGGCAAAGACCCCTGTGCTGTCCCCATCGGAGGTGTACACGCTGTCCTCTGGCCAGGCGCTCAGCACATCGAGGAGGATCTGCAGCGCCGGCTCGGCGGTCCTGCTCGAGGACATGATGGTCCCCCACATGGTCACGGCAGCTCTGTGGGGCCAGAGCTCTGTGTCAGGGCGGGTCTCAGCCACAGCAGCGTGGCCTGGGCAGCTGCAGGGGCCCGCGCTGGCCCTCAGGCCGGCCTCTGACTCCTGCCCCTGGCTGGCAGCAGCCAGCCAGCCCACGTGGGTCCAGGCCCTGAGGGGCAGGGAGGGAGCATGGCAGCAGGCTCTGGAGTTGACATGCCAGGACTGGAAAACAGAGGGGCCAGAGGCTCCTGGAACTCTCCACCTGTCTGGCAGGGACAGGCTCTACGGGGTGGGGGGACAGGTGAAGCCTAAGGCCTCAAGGCAGGTGGGGATGCCATGCCTGTCACACGATGGGGCCCAGCGCAAGAGAGTGATCAGCACGTCAGAGGGGTATTCCTTGGTCAGCTCCAGAAGGGCCTTGTCCAGCCTGTGCTCAGCAGACTCGTTGGCCGTGAGCCACCGGTGGATGTACCTCACCATGGCTGGCACCTACAGAAGGCACAGGGAGACTTGGAGAACTGCCAGAGCAGCAACTTGCCCAGCTTGCCCTGAGAAGTGCTTCCCTTTCCACCACATTGGGCTGGGCCTCAAAGGCTGAGGGAGCCCAGCACACCCAGCATGATGTGCCACAGCAGTCCTGGGGCAATCAAGCCCTTGCCCCAGACTGCTTACTTGCTTTGCATTGGAGACACCCTTCTCCACCAGCAAATCCAGCATGGCAGCACTGGTCTCGGCACTGAAGAGGTGAAAGCTTGCCAAGATCCCGGTGCCCACACCTGTGCTCTCTTCCTGCCAAATGCACGTGATGAATTGACGGATGGTCTGCAGGAGAAGGGCAGGAAGAGAGGGAGAATGCATGGAGTGCTCCAACCACTCGGTGCTGGGCTGAGCAGTGCCAGCAGGCCCAGCCCAGGTGGGGATGGCCGCAGGTACCTGCGCTGTTCTGCGGAAGCGGCCACGGGCGGGTTCCTGTTCTTGTGTCCGCTCCAGGGCTGCATCTGGTAAAGAGCGAGCGCGGCCAGAGCTGCTGAGGGGCTGCAGGAGAGGCTGGAGAACACAGCCCAGCCCTGTTCTTGCCCGGCAGGGAGAGCCTCATGATGCCCCAGGGATGGAGCATGGCTGCCACGTGGTCCAGCCCCAGCCCAGCTTCTGTTCTGTCCATGGGCATGTCCGATGGGATGGGATGGGATGGGATGGGATGGGATGGGATGGGATGGGATGGGATGGGATGGGATGGGATGCGATGCGATGGGATGGGATGGGATGCGATGGGATGTGATGGGATGGGATGGGATGCGATGGGATGCGATGGGATGGGATGGGATGCGATGCGATGGGATGGGATGGGATGCGATGGGATGTGATGGGATGCGATGGGATGCGATGGGATGCGATGGGATGGGATGGGATGCGATGGGATGCAATGGGATGCGATGGGATGGGATGCGATGGGATGGGATGGGATGCGATGGGATGCGATGGGATGCAATGGGTTGGGATGCGATGGGATGGGATGCAATGGGATGGGATGTGGCCAAGCTGGCTTCAGCCACTAGCCATGCAGCCCAGCAACCCAGCTCTGCCACTCACCCTCCTGCAGCTGCTTGAATGGCACCACCTCTTCAGTCTCATGCCCTGGGGCAGCTCCAGGGCCTTTGTCCTCTTCCTCCACCCCGGCCAGCTTGGGCACTCTTAGGGGTTTCTGCTCCATGTCAGTTACTGGATCTATAGCTACTTGCAGGAGAGATGCCTCGGAAAAGCTCCGAGTCAGCAAGTCCTGCTTTCGTGCCTGCAAGGCACCTTCAAGAGAGAAGCCTGAGGAAGGCTACAGGACAGCAAGTCCTTCTCTCTGGTCTCGAGGGCTCCTGCCACAAGGACAGGAGACTCCTGTCAAGGATTGTGCTCTTGCCTCAAGGGCACTGGTGGCAGGGATGGGAGATGCCTCCAGGGCACCAAGTCCCTTGCTCTGCCCTCCAGGGCACCTGCAGAAGAGAAGCCTCAGGAAGGCCACAGGTCAGCAAGTCCTGTGGTCTGGCCTTGAGGTCAGCTGCAGGAGTAACGCCTCAGAAATCTCTGGGTCAGACACGAACGAGTGCGCTGTGCGAGGACTCCTCACAGCACTGCTCTGTCCCGTCCTGTCCTGTCGCGTGCTCGGAGCACTGTGGCATGGTCCTGTCACTGTCAGCTCCTATGTCACCACGTGTCACAAAGGGCCCTTGGACACACTGTTCCATGCCATGGTGACCATGCTGCACGTGTCACAAAGGGCCCCTTGTTGGGGCATGTGGGGGATATGGGGACACTGGGGGACACTAGGGACATGGGGAGATGTGAGGACCTTGGGGACACTGGGGACATTTGGGGACGCTGGGGGACATCGGGGACATGGGGGGTTGGGGATGTGCGGGGTGTTGGGGGGTGTAGGAATATGGGGACACTGGGGATTTGGGGGCATATGGGGGCTTGGGGACATTGGGGGATGTGGGGGACATTGGGGATGTTGGGGGACGTGGGGACATTGGTATGTGGGACATGGGACACACTGGGGACAGGGTGGGGGCAACGTGGTAGAGGGGGAACCAAACTCATCTTTGTGTCCCCTTGTGTCCCCCCATGTCCCCAATGTCCTCCTGGTGTCCCCTATGTCCCCCTTTATCCCTGTGGCCCCTGTGGCCCCCATCTGTTCCATATTCCCCTGATGTCCCCATGTCCCCCCATGTCTGTCAATGTCCCCATGTCCCCTCACTTCGTGTCCCCATGCTGTCCCTATGTCCCCACACTGTCCCTTCACTGACCCCACACTGTCCCTGTGTTCCCATTGTCCCCATGTCCCCTCACTGTCCCCACAATGTCCCCATGCTGTCCCCTCACCGTCTCCGATGTCCTCATGTCCCAATGCTGTCCCCATGTCCCCACACCGTCCCCTCACTGTCCCCTTGTTTCCCTGTGTCCCCTCACTGTCCCCTCCATGTCCCCATTGTGCTCATGTCCCATCCGTTTCCCCTTGGTGTCCCCGTTTCCTGTCACTGTCTCCTTCCTGTCCCCTGTGTCCCCACTGTATCTGTGTCCCCTCCATGTCCCCCCATGTCCTCGTGTCCCCTCGCTGTCCCCTCTGTCCCCACTGTCCCCCTGTCCCCTCGGTGTCCTCTCGGTGTGTGGTGTCCCCGTGTCCCCTCCACGTCCCCCGTGTCCCCCGTGTCCCGCAGGCGTCGCAGACGCCGTCCACGCTGAACCCGGTGCTGCCGGCGGCCGAGCGCACGGTGGCCTGGGTGTCCAACATGCCGCACCTGTCGGCCGACATCGAGAGCTCGCACATCGAGCGCGAGGAGTACAAGCTCAAGGAATACTCCAAGTCCATGGACGAGAGCCGGCTGGACCGGGTAGGGCAGGTGTGAGCGACACAGGTGTGAGTGACACAGGTGTGTGAGGGACACAGGTGTGACTGACACAGGTGTGTGAGTGACACAGGTGTGAGCGACATAAGTGTGAGCGACACAGGTGTGAGTGACACAGGTGTGTGAGTGTACAGGTGTGAGCGACACAGGTGTGAGTGACACAGGTGTGAGCGACACAGGTGTGTGAGTGACACAGGTGTGTGAGCGACACAGGTGTGAGTGACACAGGTGTGAGCGACACAGGTGTGAGCGACACAGGTGTGAGGGACACAGGTGTGTGAGCGACACAGGTGTGACTGACACAGCTGTGAGGGACACAGGTGTGAGTGACACAGGTGTGAGTGACACAGCTGTGAGGGACACAGGTGTGTGAGTGACACAGGTGTGTGAGTGACACAGGTGTGAGTGACACAGCTGTGAGGGACACAAGTGTGAGTGACACAGGTGTGAGTGACACAGGTGTGAACGACACAGGTGTGTGAGTGACACAGGTGTGAGTGACACAGCTGTGAGGGACACAGGTGTGTGAGCGACACAGGTGTGAGTGACACAGGTGTGTGAGCGACACAGGTGTGAATGACACAGGTGTGAGCGACAGAGGTGTGAGCGACACAGGTGTGAGTGACACAGGTGTGAGGGACACAAGTGTGGGTGACACAGGTGTGAGTGACACAGGTGTGTGAGTGACACAGGTGTGAACGACACAGGTGTGAGTGACACAGGTGTGAGTGACACAGGTGTGGGTGACACAGGTGTGAGTGACACAGGTGTGAGTGACACAGGTGTGTGAGTGACACAGGTGTGAGTGACACAGGTGTGATTGACACAGGTGTGAGCGAAACAGGTGTGTGAGTGACACAGCTGTGAGTGACACAGCTGTGAGGGACACAGGTGTGAGGGACACAGGTGTGTGAGGAACACAGGTGTGAGGGACACAGGTGTGAGTGACACAGGTGTGACTGACACAGGTGTGAGTGACACAGCTGTGAGTGACACAGGTGTGAGCGAAACAGGTGTGTGAGTGACACAGGTGTGAGTGACACAGGTGTGAGTGACACAGGTGTGAGTGACACAGGTGTGTGAGTGACACAGGTGTGTGAGTATCACAGGGGTGTGAGTGACACAGGTGTGAGTGACACACGTGTGAGAGAGACACAGGTGTGTGAGAGACACAGGTGTGATTGACACAGGTGTGAGCGACACTGGTGTGAGGGCACAGGTGTGACGGTACAGGTGTGAGTGACACGGGTGTGTGAGTGACACAGGTGTGTGGGTGACACAGGTTGAGCGACACAGGTGTGAGCGACACAGGTGTGAGTGACACAGGTGTGAGGGACTCAGGTGTGAGTGACACAGGTGTGACTCATACAGGTGTGACTGGTACAGGTGTGACTGGTACAGGTGTGAGTGACGCAGGTGTGTGAGCAACACAGGTGTAAATGACACCTCAGGTGTGCCCAGGTTTGAGTGACAGGTGTGTGAGTGACACAGGTGTGAGTGACAGGTGTGCGAGTGACACAGGTGTGTGAGGGATCCAGGTGTGCCCAGGTGTGAGGGACAAAAGCTCATGGAGTACTCCAAGTCCATGGACAAGAGCCGGCTGGACCGTGTAGGGCTGGTGTGAGTGACACTTCAGGTGTGCCCAGATGTGTATGACACAGCTGTGAGTGACAGAGGTGTGCCCAGGTGTGCTCAGGTTTGCTCAGGTGTGAGTGATACATGTGTGCTTAGGGTTGTTCAGGTGTGCTCAGATGTGCCCAGGTGTGCCCAGGTGTGAGTGACACAGCTGTGGGTGACACAGGTGTGCTCAGGTGTGCCCAGGTGTTTCCAGGTGTGAGTGACACAGCTGTGAGTGACACAGGTGTGCTCAGGTGTGCGTGATACAGGTGTGCTTCGGCTTGTTCAAGTGTGCTCAGGTGTGCAGGGATCCAGTGGATTATGGGGGGGGAGCTCAGGTCTGCAGATGTTCAGGTGTGTTGATGTTCAGGGTGCAGTGATACAGGTGAGCAGATGTTCCGGTATCCAGGTGTGCCCAGATGTTGAAGAATCCAGGGGATGGTCCTGGTGGATCTCAGGTGTGCAGGGATCCAGGTGTGCAGGTGATAGGAGATGATCCCATGTACCTCAGCAGGTGATGCTGGTGGATCTCAGGTGTGTCAGGTGTCCCCAGGTGTGTCAGGTGTCCCAAGCATTCCCAGGTGCTGTCCCCAGGTGTCCCCAGGTACTCTTAAGTGTGCCCAGGGGTGACGGGTGTCCCCAGGTGTGCTGCAGTGTCCCTTTGGCAGGTGAAGGAGGACAAGGAGGAGATCCACTCGCTGAAGGAGCGGCTGCACAGGGACAGGGGGGTGACAGCTGTGCCATAGCTGGGTTAGGGGGTTCCCAGGTGTGGCAGGTGTGACAGGTGTGACAGGTGTGCCATAGCTGGGTTAGGGGGTTCCCAGGTGTGTGACAGGTGTGACAGGTGTGACAGGTGTGCCATAGCTGGGTTAGGGGGTTCCCAGGTGTGACAGGTGTGACAGGTGTGCCATAGCTGGGTTAGGGGGTTCCCAGGTGTGACAGGTGTGACAGGTGTGCCATAGCTGGGTTAGGGTGTTCCCAGGTGTGACAGGTGTGACAGGTGTGCCATATCTGGGTGTAGGGGGTTCCCAGGTGTGACAGGTGTGACAGGTGTGACAGGTGTGCCATAGCTGGGTTAGGGGGTTCCCAGGTGTGACAGGTGTGACAGGTGTGACAGGTGTGCCATAGCTGGGTTAGGGGGTTCCCAGGTGTGGCATGTGTGACAGGTGTGCCATAGCTGGGTTAGTGGGGTATCCAGGTGTGACAGGTGTGACAGGTGTGCCATAGCTGGGTTAGGGAGTTCCAGGTGTGACAGGTGTGACAGGTGTGCCATATCTGGGTGTAGGGGGTTCCCAGGTGTGGCAGGTGTGACAGGTGTGACAGGTGTGCCACAGCTGGGTTAGGGGGTTCCCAGGTGTGGCAGGTGTGAAAGGTGTGGCAGGTGTGACAGGTGTGCCATAGCTGGGTTAGGGGGTTCCCAGGTGTGACAGGTGTGACAGGTGTGCCATATCTGGGTGTAGGGGGTTCCCAGGTGTGACAGGTGTGACAGGTGTGCCATAGCTGGGTTAGGGGGTTCCCAGGTGTGACAGGTGTGGCAGGTGTGCCATAGCTGGGTTAGGGGGTTCCCAGGTGTGACAGGTGTGACAGGTGTGACAGGTGTGCCATAGCTGGGTTAGGGGGTTCCCAGGTGTGACAGGTGTGACAGGTGTGCCAGGTGTGCCATAGCTGGGTTAGGGGGTTCCCAGGTGTGACAGGTGTGCCAGGTGTGCCATAGCTGGGTTAGGGGGTTCCCAGGTGTGACAGGTGTGGCAGGTGTGCCATAGCTGGGTTAGGGTGTTCCCAGGTGTGACAGGTGTGACAGGTGTGACAGGTGTGCCATAGCTGGGTTAGGGGGTTCCCAGGTGTGACAGGTGTGACAGGTGTGACAGGTGTGCCATATCTGGGTGTAGGGGGTTCCCAGGTGTGACAGGTGTGACAGGTGTGACAGGTGTGCCATAGCTGGGTTAGGGGGTTCCCAGGTGTGACAGGTGTGACAGGTGTGCCATAGCTGGGTTAGGGGGTTCCCAGGTGTGACAGGTGTGACAGGTGTGCCATAGCTGGGTTAGGGGGTTCCCAGGTGTGACAGGTGTGACAGGTGTGCCATAGCTGGGTTAGGGTGTTCCCAGGTGTGACAGGTGTGACAGGTGTGCCATATCTGGGTGTAGGGGGTTCCCAGGTGTGACAGGTGTGACAGGTGTGACAGGTGTGCCATAGCTGGGTTAGGGAGTTCCAGGTGTGACAGGTGTGACAGGTGTGCCATATCTGGGTGTAGGGGGTTCCCAGGTGTGGCAGGTGTGACAGGTGTGGAAGGTGTGACAGGTGTGCCATAGCTGGGTTAGGGGGTTCCCAGGTGTGACAGGTGTGACAGGTGTGGCAGGTGTGCCATAGCTGGGTTAGGGGGTTCCCAGGTGTGGCAGGTGTGACAGGTGTGCCATAGCTGGGTTAGGGGGTTCCCAGGTGTGACAGGTGTGGCAGGTGTGCCATATCTGGGTGTAGGGGGTTCCCAGGTGTGACAGGTGTGACAGGTGTGCCACAGCTGGGTTAGGGGGTTCCCAGGTGTGGCAGGTGTGCCATAGCTGGTTTAGGGGGTTCCCAGGTGTGACAGGTGTGACAGGTGTGACAGGTGTGCCATAGCTGGGTTAGGGGGTTCCAGGTGTGACAGGTGTGACAGGTGTGACAGGTGTGCCATAGCTGGGTTAGGGGGTTCCCAGGTGTGACAGGTGTGCCAGGTGTGCCATAGCTGGGTTAGGGGGTTCCCAGGTGTGACAGGTGTGCCAGGTGTGCCATAGCTGGGTTAGGGGGTTCCCAGGTGTGACAGGTGTGACAGGTGTGCCATATCTGGGTTAGGGGGTTCCCAGGTGTGACAGGTGTGACAGGTGTGACAGGTGTGCCATAGCTGGGTTAGGGGGTTCCCAGGTGTGACAGCTGTGACAGCTGTGACAGGTGTGACAGGTGTGACAGGTGTGACAGGTGTGCCATAGCTGGGTTAGGGGGTTCCCAGGTGTGACAGGTGTGACAGGTGAGCCATATCTGGGTGTAGGGGGTTCCCAGGTGTGACAGGTGTGACAGGTGTGCCACAGCTGGGTTAGGGGGTTCCCAGGTGTGGCAGGTGTGCCATAGCTGGGTTAGGGGGTTCCCAGGTGTGACAGGTGTGGCAGGTGTGACAGGTGTGCCATAGCTGGGTTAGGGGGTTCCCAGGTGTGACAGGTGTGACAGGTGTGACAGGTGTGCCATAGCTGGGTTAGGGGGTTCCCAGGTGTGACAGGTGTGCCAGGTGTGCCATATCTGGGTGTAGGGGGTTCCCAGGTGTGGCAGGTGTGACAGGTGTGACAGGTGTGCCACAGCTGGGTTAGGGGGTTCCCAGGTGTGACAGGTGTGACAGGTGTGCCATAGCTGGGTTAGGGTGTTCCCAGGTGTGACAGATGTGACAGGTGTGCCATATCTGGGTGTAGGGGGTTCCCAGGTGTGACAGGTGTGACAGGTGTGACAGGTGTGCCATAGCTGGGTTAGGGGGTTCCCAGGTGTGGCAGGTGTGACAGGTGTGACAGGTGTGCCATAGCTGGGTTAGGGGGTTCCCAGGTGTGGCATGTGTGACAGGTGTGCCATAGCTGGGTTAGTGGGGTTTCCAGGTGTGACAGGTGTGCCATAGCTGGGTTAGGGAGTTCCAGGTGTGACAGGTGTGACAGATGTGCCATATCTGGGTGTAGGGGGTTCCCAGGTGTGGCAGGTGTGACAGGTGTGACAGGTGTGCCACAGCTGGGTTAGGGGGTTCCCAGGTGTGGCAGGTGTGACAGGTGTGACAGGTGTGCCATAGCTGGGTTAGGGGGTTCCCAGGTGTGGCATGTGTGACAGGTGTGCCATAGCTGGGTTAGTGGGGTTTCCAGGTGTGACAGGTGTGACAGGTGTGCCATAGCTGGGTTAGGGGGTTCCCAGGTGTGACAGGTGTGCCAGGTGTGCCATAGCTGGGTTAGGGGGTTCCCAGGTGTGACAGGTGTGACAGGTGTGCCATAGCTGGGTTAGGGTGTTCCCAGGTGTGACAGGTGTGACAGGTGTGCCATATCTGGGTGTAGGGGGTTCCCAGGTGTGACAGGTGTGACAGGTGTGACAGGTGTGCCATAGCTGGGTTAGGGGGTTCCCAGGTGTGACAGGTGTGACAGGTGTGCCACAGCTGGGTTAGGGGGTTCCCAGGTGTGGCAGGTGTGCCATAGCTCGGTTAGGGGGTTCCCAGGTGTGACAGGTGTGACAGGTGTAACAGGTGTGCCATAGCTGGGTTAGGGTGTTCCCAGGTGTGACAGGTGTGCCAGGTGTGCCATAGCTGGGTTAGGGGGTTCCCAGGTGTGGCATGTGTGGCAGGTGTGACAGGTGTGCCATAGCTGGGTTAGGGGGTTCCCAGGTGTGGCAGGTGTGACAGGTGTGCCATAGCTGGGTTAGGGGATTTCCAGGTGTGACAGGTGTGACAGGTGTGCCATAGCTGGGTTAGGGAGTTCCAGGTGTGACAGGTGTGACAGGTGTGCCATAGCTGGGTTAGGGGGTTCCCAGGTGTGGCAGGTGTGACAGGTGTGACAGGTGTGACAGGTGTGCCACAGCTGGGTTAGGGGGTTCCCAGGTGTGGCAGGTGTGACAGGTGTGGCAGGTGTGACAGGTGTGCCATAGCTGGGTTAGGGGGTTCCCAGGTGTGACAGGTGTGGCAGGTGTGCCATAGCTGGGTTAGGGGGTTCCCAGGTGTGACAGGTGTGACATGAGTGCCATATCTGGGTGTAGGGGGTTCCCAGGTGTGACAGGTGTGACAGGTGTGCCACAGCTGGGTTAGGGGGTTCCCAGGTGTGGCAGGTGTGCCATAGCTGGGTTAGGGGGTTCCCAGGTGTGGCAGGTGTGACAGGTGTGACAGGTGTGCCACAGCTGGGTTAGGGGGTTCCCAGGTGTGGCAGGTGTGCCCGTAGGCGTCCCCAGGTGCGCTGCAGTGTCCCTTTGGCAGGTGAAGGAGTACGAGGAGGAGATCCACTCGCTGAAGGAGCGGCTGCACATGTCCAACCGCAAGCTGGAGGAGTACGAGCGGCGCCTGGTGACGCAGGAGGAGCAGACCAGCCGCATCCTCCTGCAGTACCAGCAGCGCCTGGAGCTCAGCGAGAAGCGGCTCCGGCAGCAGCAGCAGGAGAAGGACTCGCAGATCAAGAGCATCATCGGCAGGTGAGGGACACACGGGGACAGCGGGGACAGCGGGGACACTGGGGACACTGGGGACACGGGGACACTGGGGACATGGGGACGTGGAGGGAACATGGGGACACACAGGGACACGGGCACATGGGGACTCTCAGATCAAGAGTGTCATCGGCAGGTGAGGGACACACGGGGACAGCGGGGACACAGGGACATCAATGAGACGGGGGGACATGGGGACAGACAGGGACTTTGGGGACAAACAGGAGTCTGGGGACAAATGGGGACACGGGGACTTACAGGGCCAGGGACTCACAGACTCGCAGATGAAGAGCATCGTGGGCAGGTGAGGGACACGCGGGGACGTTGAGGGAACATGGGGCAGACAGGGATTTCGGGGACAAACAGGGCTATGGGGACACGGGGACACACAGGGACAGCCTGGGGACATGGGGACACGGGACACTGGGACATGGGAGCACACAGGGACACGGGCACGTGGGGACTCTCAGATCAAGAGCATCATTGGCAGGTGAGTGACACACGGGGACACACAGGGCAATGGGGACAAACAGGGGTACGCCTTGGGGACACAGGGACAGATGGGGACATGGGGACAAATGGTGCAGGGACACACAGGAACATGGAGACTCACAGATCAGGAGCATCATTGTCAGGTGAGGGACACACGAGGGCAGCAGGGACACTGGGGACATGGGGACATTGAGGGGACATTGGGAACAGCAGGGACACAGGGACATGGGGACATTGAAGGGACATTGGGGACAGCAGGGACACAGGGACATGGGGACACACAGGGCCAGGGACACACAGGGACTCGCAGACCATCAGGCAGGTGAGGGACACACGGGGACAGCCAGGGGGCATTGGGGACATCGAGGGGGACACAGACATCAGGGATACAGGGACATTGGGGACACACAGAATGACACAAGGGACATTGGGGACACAGGGGACAGAGGGACGTGGGGTACAAAGGATCACAGGGGACACAGAAGGACATGGGGGTGACACAGGCACACATAGGACGTGGGTGATACAGAGGTGACAGGCACCCAGGGACACGGGGACACAGCACGGTTGACAACTTGGGTTGTCCCCAAGTCCCTGGGGTGTCCTTGTCATGTCCCCAGCTGTCCCCAGGATGTCCCTGGGCTGTATCAGGGGTGTCCCCATGACCTTGAGCTGTCCTGAGGCTCTGGGTGTCCCAAGGTGTCCCCAGGCTGTCCCTGGGATTGTCCCCGTGTCCCTTGGCTGCCCCTGGACTGTCCGCAGATGTCCCCATGTCCTCAGGCTGTCCCTGCAAGTGTCCCCATGTGCCTGAGTGTGTCCCCAAAGGTGTCCCCTTGTCCCTGGGGATGACCCGGTGATGCCAGGGGTGTCCCATGGCTGTCCCTGGACTGTCCCCAGCAGTGTCCCTGTATCCCTGGGGCTGTCCCTGGGTGTCTCCCCGTGTCCCCCGGGCTGTCCCCGGGCTGTCCCCGGGCTGTCCCTGGGCTGTCCCTGGGGGTGTCCCCGGGCTGTCCCCGGGGGTGTCCCCGAGCTGTCCCCGGGCTGTCCCCGGGCTGTCCCCGGGGGTGTCCCTGTGTCCCCGGGCTGTCCCTGGGGGTGTCCCCGGGCTGTCCCTGGGGGTGTCCCCGAGCTGTCCCTGGGCTGTCCCCGGGCTGTCCCTGGGGGTGTCCCTGTGTCCCCGGGCTGTCCCCGGGCTGTCCCCGGGGGTGTCCCTGTGTCCCCGGGCTGTCCCTGGGGGTGTCCCCGGGCTGTCCCCGGGCTGTCCCTGGGGGTGTCCCTGTGTCCCCGGGCTGTCCCCGGGCTGTCCCCGTGTCCCCCGGGCTGTCCCCGGGCTGTCCCCGGGCTGTCCCTGGGGGTGTCCCTGTGTCCCCGGGCTGTCCCCGGGCTGTCCCCATGTCCCGGGGCTGTCCCCGGGGGGGGTGGCAGCATGACCCCGGTGAAGCCTGGCCCCGCAGGCTGATGCTACTGGAGCAGGAGCTGCGCAGGGATCACTTGGGCGCCCACGACCCGTCCGAGGGCCGGCGGCGGCTGCTCGACGCTCAGGTGGAAATTACAATGTCATTGCTCTGCTCCGTGTGACATCGGCCATCCCACGCCGCGCTGGGGGCGGGGCGAGGGGGGATTTGGGGCGCTCCGGGGGTTCCCGGCAGCTTTCAGGGGCGTCCCGGGGGGGTTTGGTGGGGTCTGGGGGGGTTTATGGGTGTCCCTAGGGGGGTTCTGTGGAAGTTTTGGGGGGTTATGGGTGTCCCTGGGGGATATTTGGGGGTTTTGGGGTGGGTTATGGTTGTCCCGAGGGGGGTTCTGGCGTGTCTGGGGGGGGGGGGGGGGGGGGGGTGGGGTCTGGGTGTCCCGAGGGGGTATTTGGGTATTTTAGGAGCATTATTTGGGGTCTATGGGGTATATTTGGATATTCTGGGGGGTTTATGGGTGTCCCTAGGGGGGTTTGAGGGGGCCTGTGGGGATTTTGGCAGGGTCTGTGGAGGTTTTGGGGGCTTATGAGTGTCTCTAGGGGGTTTTGGGGGGTTTTTGGGGGTTCCTAGGGGGTTTGGAAGGGAGTATTTGGGGTCTGTTGGGGGAATTTTGGGGTTACAGGAGTTTATGGCTACTCCTAGGGGGGCTGTGGGGAGGGGTCTGGAGGGGTTTTGGGGGGGTTCTGGGTGTTTCTAGGGGGTTTTGGGGGGTTCTTGGGGGTCTCTGGGGGGTATATCTAGGGTTATTGGGGAGTTATTTGGGGTCTGTGGTGGATATTTGGGCATTTTGGGGGGTTCTGGCTATTCCCAGGGGTCTCTGGGGGTATTTTGGGGGGTTTTGGGGGATCCCTATGGGTATTTTGGGGGGTTTGGGGGGGCTCTGGGGGGGTATTCCTGGGGTTATTGGGGTTTGGGAGGGAGTTATGGGTGTTCCCAGGGGGGTTTTGGGGAGGTCATTTGGAGTCTGTGAGGGTTTTGGGGTCTCCAAGTGTCCCTGGGAGGTTTCTGGGCATTCTGAGAGGATAATTTGGGGTTTTGGGGGATTTTTGGAGGTCTCTGGGTCCCTGTGGAGGGGTTTGGGGACCCCCGAGGGGGGCTCCTGTCACCTCTGGGGGCTGTGGGGGGACAAGGCCGCCCTGGGGGGGACATGGTGGCACTTGGGGGGGGGGGGCGCAGGGGGTCCAGGCCACCCCCAGGGGGACAATGGGACCCCTGGGGGGAGGGACAGGGACCCCTGGAGGGGGCCTGAGGGGGACAGGGCCACCCCCAGTGAGGACAGGGCCACCTCTGGGGGGACAAAGTGACCCCCCAATCAATACAGGGCCACCCCTGGGGGAACAAAGTGACCCCCCAGAAGGACAGGGCCACCCCCAGTCAATACAGGGCCACCCCTGAGGGGAAAAAGTGACCCCTGGAAGGGACAGGGCCACTCCCGGAGGGACAGGGCCACCCTCGGTTGGGACAAGGCCACCCCTGAGGGGACCAAGTGGCCCCCAGAGGGGACAGGGCCACCCCTGGGGTGACACCAGAGGGACATTTCAGTGCAGAGGTGACATCGCCCCACCCCCCACCCCAGGGACAGCGCCACCTCGGTGCCCCCAAGGCCACCCCCATGTCCCCCCCCAGCGACGGGGCTGTTCCTGTGCCCCCTCCTTGGGTCATGGCCACCTCGGGGCCACCTCAGGGCCACCCCGGGCCACCTCGGGGTCAGGCCGGGGCCAGCCCGGCCGGGCCGTGTCCCTGCGCAGCGCGGTGGCCACGGTGGCCCTGATGTCCCCTCCCGTGTCTCTCTTGTCACAGCTGTCCGTCAGGTAGCGCGGCCCGGCCCCGCCAGTGGCACCGGACCCTCGGCCACCGGTGACACCCCAGGTGGGTCCTTGTCCCCTCCCTGCCACCCCCCGGGCCGCACAGGAGCACCCTTGGGGACACGGATCCCAGATGTCCCCAAGAGCCTCTCGTGTCCCCAGGGGACACTGGGAACCCTTGGGTACATGGATCTGGAATGTCCCCAAGGGCTCTGCTGGCTCCAAGGGACACTGGGGACACTTCACAGGTGTCCCCATGTCCCTCCTGTGTCCCCATGTCCCTCCCACGTCCCTCAGGCACATTGGGGACCTTTGGGAACATGGATCCAAGATGTCCCCAAGACCCTCCTGTGTCCCTAAGGGACATTGGGGACCCTCGGGGACATGGATCTGGAGCATCCCCATGTCCCTCCTTTGTCCCCATGTCCCTCATGGGCACTGGGGACTCCTTGGGGACACAGATCCAGGTGTCCCTAAGGGACACTGGGGACAGAGATCTAGATGTCCCCATGTCCCTTCCCCCTCCCTCGGGAACACTGGGGACACAGATCCCTGCTGTGTCCCCATGTCTCTCCCATGTTCCGCAAGGACACTGGGACCCCTTGAGGACACAGATCCAGATGTCCCCAAGATGCTCATTGTCCCCATGTTCCTCCCATGTCCCTCAGGGGCACTGGTGACACTTGGGGACACTTGGGGACATGGATCCAAGATGTCCCCAAGACCCTTCTGTGTCCCCGCATTCTTCAGGGACACAAGGGACACCTTGGGGACACAGATCGAGGTGTCCCCTTGTCCTCTGGGGACACAGATGCAGATGTCCCCATGTCCCTCCTGTGTCCCCATGTCCCTTGGGGACATGGATTCAGGTGTCCCCACGTCCCTCCTGGTGTCCTCCTGTCCCTCCCGTGTCCCTGTGTCACCTGGGGACACGTATCCAAGTGTTCCCTTGTCCCTTCCATGTCCCCATGTCCTTTAGGGACATGGGGGACCCCTTGGGGTCACGGATCCAGGTGTCCCCTTGTCCCTCCTGGTGTCACCATGTCCTTCCTGGTGTCCCCATGTCTCTTGTGGACACTGGGGACCCCCTGGGGACACCAACCCCGGTGTCCCCATGTCCCTCCTGGTGTCCCCATGTCCCTTAGGGACACTGAGGACCCTTTGGAGACATTGGGCACCCCCTGGGGACACCACCTCAGGTGTCCCCATGTCTCTCCTGGTGTCCCCATGTCTCTGGTGGACACTGGGGACCCTTTTGGGGACACCACCCCAGGTGTCCCCATGTCCCCTCAGGTGCCACCACTGGCCCTGTCCCCACCCCCTGGAGATGCCACCATTGTCCCCATCCCCCCCGGGGGGTGACCATGGTTGGGGGGGTTTGGGGGAGGTTCTCACCAAATGTCCCCCAGCGCTGGCGCCGCGTCACCATCACCATTCTCGTGTCCTGTGTCTGTCCCCATCTCACGGGGGGGGGGGGGGGGGGGGGGGGAGGTGACACCTGTGTCCGTGTGCCATGTCCTGTCACCGCGGGTGGGGGAGGGGACAGTTCAGGGGGCTTGGGGACAGCTGAGTGAGCACCAGGACAATTGCGGGGGGGTGGGGACAATTTAGGGGAGGGCAGGGACAATTTTAGGGGGGTGGGGACAATTTTGGGAGTGAACTGCCTCAGTTTCGGGGGGGGGGGGGGGGGGGACAAATCAAGGGCGTCCCACCTTCATGTTTTAGGGTTAATTTTAGTGTGAAACTTTTAGGGTTGGGGTGAACTTTAGGGGGTCAGGGTGAAGTTTTAGGGCGTCAGGGTTAATTTGAGGGGTTCGGGGTTAACTTGAGGAGTTCGGGGTGAACTCCGGGGCAGGTCAGGGATGGTTTTGGGCGCATTCGTGCTGATTTCGGGCCACCCCGAGGCCCCCGCACCGGTGCCGCAGGTGAGTGAGCCCTGCATGGCGGGGGGGGGGGGGGGGGCGGGGCCCCCCGGGGACACCTTGGGGACACGCAGGGACAGGCAGGGACACGCAGGGACACTCAGGGCGCTGGCGGGGGCGGGGGGGTGAATGAGCCCCCTCGGTGCCTTGCAGGAGAGGCAGCTTTCCGCCGTGGGTGCAGCAGACCAGGGTGTGATTTGGGGGGCCGGGGGGGTCCCCGGGCGGCCCCCGCCTCCGCCCCCGCCACCCCCGATCACGGCCAACGGCTGCGAGCGGCGCGGCCCCGCTGCTGAGCACTGACCCCCGCCCCGGGGGTCGCCGGGACCCCCCCAGAAACCGCACCCGCACCCCCCTTCGATCCCCCTGACCCCCCCAGCCCTGGGGGAAAAGGGGGAAAGGGGAGGGCGGGGGGGGGGGGGCACCCGGAGACCCCCGGGGTGAGCAGGAGGAGGAGGAGGAGGAGGAGGAGGCGAGGGGAGCTCGCCCTGGGGTGGGTCTCACGCGAGTAATTCGGGGGGATTTGCGCGAGGAATTTTTGGGGTCCTCGTGCAGCAGATCCTTGTGCAAAGGGCTCCTCGTGCGGGGAAAGTGGGGGTCGGGCCAGGATTTGGGGTCCCCGTGTGACAATTTAGGGTCCCCGTGTGAGGATTTTGGGGTCCCCTGGAAGGGCTCCTCGTGCCACCATCTTCTCACGTCACCAAGAGGAATTTGGGGTCCTTGTGCTGGAGCTCCTCGAGTGTCACCAGCTCCTCACCGAGGGCTCCTTGTGGCACCCAGAGGAATTTGGGGGGCTCCGAGTGGCAGCGGGACCAGCCCAGCCCTCGCGAGGGTCCCGAGTGCCACCACGTCCTCGTGTCACCAAGAGGAACGGGTGGGGGGGGGGGGGGGGGGCTCGTGCAAGAGCCCCTCGGGTGCCACCAGCTCCTCGAGTGCCACCAGCTCCTCGAGTGCCACCAGCTCCTCTGGTGCCACCAGCTCCTCGCGCCACCAAGAGTCCCCCGAGTGTCACCAGGACCGGCTCAGCCCCCCTGTGCGGGTCCCTGGTGTCACCGGGGTCTCTCTCTGTGTCACACGCCGCCCTCGGGCATCCACCGGCACCCCCCGAGCACCGGGACCCCCGAATTTCACCGTCCTCGTGCACCGGGGCCCCCCTCAGGACCCCCCCCTCAGGCATCAGGACACTCGAGTTTCCCCTCCCCCTTCCTCGGGCACCGGCACCACCGGCCCCCCCCGCGAGGAACCGGGACCACCGGAGACGCTCCCACCCCATCAGTCAGCGCCGTCACCGTGCACCGGGGCCCCCCCACGAGCATTGACCCCCCTCGGGCACCGGCACCACCGGACCTCCCCTCAAACATCGCCAGCCTCAGGCACAGGGACCACCGGAGACCCCCCCCGAATCACCGAGCACCGGGACCCCCCTGTGCATCCCCCTCCCGTCGTGCACCAGCACCGAGACTGGACCCTCTTCGTGCACCGGGACCCCCCCGTGCATTGACCCCCCCTCACCGAGCACCGGGACTGGGACTGGACCCCCCCTCGAATCCCGGGAACCCCCCGGGTACCTGGACCCCCCGGGAAGCGCCACGCCCGTGCACCGGGCCCGGTCCCCCCTTTGTGCCCCCCACCCATCACGGGGTTCTGCCCCCTCCCCTTTGACCCCCCTGGTGCCGCGGGACCCCCGGGAACAGCGCCGGGACCGGGGGGGCCCCAAGCGCTGGGGGGACACAGGGGGTGCCCAGCACCGGGGGGGTCCCTTGGGGCTCCGTCCTGTCCCCCCCCGTTATCAGCCGGGACCCCTCGTTATCACCAGGGTCCCCCCCAATTTACCAGGACCCCCCCATTCACTGCTTCCCCCCTTCACCGACCCCCAAAGCGCTGGGAACCCCCGAGCCATGAGCCCCCCCCAGCGCGCCAGGACCCCCCACTCACCTCCCAGCCCCCATCCATGGGAACCCCCCCTCACCACCCCCACACTCACCAGGACCCCCCAGTCCATGGGACCCCCCACACTCACCACGACCCCCCCACACTCACCAGGACCCCCCAATCCATGGGACCCCCCACATTCACCAGCCCCCCCCCCCCCTCACCACGCCCCCCCTTGATTGAACCCCCCCGAAACGCCCCCAGCCCCTCCACCCTGGCCCCCCTGAGCCCCCGGACCCCCCGAGCCCCCCCAGTGGGGCCAGGCTGGCTCCACCCCCCGGGGCCGCCGCTGCGCGGAGCCTTTCAATAAACGCTGATTGGTCTTGTAGTCACGCCCACAGGGGGCGGGGCCGCGCAGGGGCGGCCAATGGGAAGCGTCAGAGCAGGGAGGGGGCGGGGATTGGAAAGGGGTGAGAATGGAGCGTGGGAAAATGGGTGGGGCCTGGGGAGTGGCGGCCAATGGGGAGGGGAGTGGGCGTGGCCAGGGGGCAGGAAGGGGTGGGCAATTACGTGAACCCGTGAAAGGGGCGGGGCCTGGTAAAGGGGCGGGGCCTGGGTGGGCAAAGAACGGGAAGCGCTCCCGGAATTTCCTCTCCTATCTCAAACACTTGCATTGCCGTGTTCCCCTGCACAACGCTGTCATCGATGCACTGTCGCTGTGGGGCACGAAAGGAGCACAAAGACGCTTGGTAAGGTCAAAGGAGAAAAAAAGAGAAAGTTTTATTAGAACATCTGGTATTTATAGAATTCCAAAGGTGACCGTGGATTGGAGGAAGGAATCACCACCTCTCCAACCACAGTGGTCCAAAGATCAATCAATCATTTCTCTCCACCCACAGAGAAATCTGTAAACTATTTTACTTTTACATGAAGTTGCGTGGGAACTCTGACTCTCGAATATGTAAATGTCAATGTTTCACACTGGCACAATGCCAGCGCCCCCATGCAAATCCAGCTTCCCAAATAAGTGCTGTGAATTGTGGTAAGGAACAGAGCAGAGCAGGCCCAAGCTTAGACATAAGGGAGAAAGATCTTTATTAAGCTACTCCTATAATAAAAGACACACACTAAATCCAGAATTAAAACCTTCCAGAACATTCCTCCTCCCCCCACCCAAACTCCAACAAATCACAGCGGGACACAACTTGGACCCTCAATCAGGTCATCACCTTTCAGATAATCAATACTCAGTCTATCAGGGGAGAGAGGAGTCTCTCTTGCACCACAGACCCACAGGAAACACAATTGCCACCTCTCGTGTTTCCATGTCACACATGGCACTGCCCAGAGAAAATCTGCCAGTGTGACACTCTCCTCTGCATGTCACAGTGCCCTCACCGCCGTGCATGGACAGACTGCTCATAGGGCTCCTTTAAGGATGCTTTGCCAAGGAACAAAAGAAACAACAGTTCAATTTTCGTTTTGGGACCACGGTCCTCCCCAATTTCCTCCTCCCCTGGGGCTGAGGGTGCAAACAGAGATCTTCTTCTTCCTGAAGACAGAGGGCATCACCACACCCTCCTCAGCTTTCCTCTGTTCACTCCATTCCTGTGCTGGAATTTGCTGAAGAAGGTCTCTTGGCTCACCATTGCATCCCCCTAAAGATGCAGTCTCTGTTGCAGGAGAAATTGGCTCAGTCAATGGCTTACAAGAAGAGTCCAGCCAAAAGCCACTCCATCATCTCCTCCCCAACTTTCTTTCCCTAACATCTCAGGTCCCAGACTGTCTCTTTTCTCTTTCAAGGTGAGGAGGAGTAATATTTCACAAAGCTTTAATTTCCCAGGAAAGGGTTAAAAGTCTTGGACTGCCCTGACTGCTGAAATCTCAGCCCAGACCCCAACTCCCAGGGCTGGGCACCTTCCCCCCACCCTTTCTCCTTCTCCTCTGCCAGTGAATTTCCAGGTGCCTTCAGGCTCTCTGTCTGTTTCCCTCTGGTGGTGTGGGGGCGTGGGGAACAAAGACATCTCAGGTTTCCTCCACCCTTCTGTCCAAAGGAGCCGGCCTAGCTCGGTTCCAGTCCCTTCACCCCCTGGCACACCTCTCCTAGCCCGTGGGGGGCGGGGGAGAGTCTGCACTCTCCAAAGAGACAGTTCTCCTGGAGTTCTTGCTTTTAATCCCTGTGTTCTCAGAGGTGTGCCCATGCCTTCAGTGGTCACTTCAGGTGCCAATATCCAAAACTGACTACTGATTGGTTTGACCCTCTTCTTCCTGAGAAAATTCACTTCCATGTCAAACCACAACAGTAAACATTACCAGAAGGCTAAAGAAGTTTTATGAGAACTTTACAACTTTCAAAAGAACTATAAAACACTTTTAAAAATCAGGTCAACATCTCACCCTTTTTCTGTCAAAAAAGAAAAAAAAAAAAAAATGAACATTATCGAAAGGGAAAATTTAACAATGTTAAAAAGAAAAATGAACAATGTTCAGTGTCCACTCATGGAGGAATCATTGGAGTGATCACTCGCGTCGTCTGCATCTGAGTAATCACTCAATGGTCCACCCACTTGATGACTTCCAGTTTGGTCACAGTTTCCATTCTGCATGTCAGCCGGATGCTGTCTCTGGGGTCACTGGTCAGGACGAACACACTTCGAAGGTACCCAGCGTACCCTGGTATCTGTGGATATGCATGCATACTCACATTCCAAAGTGATAAGTTCATAGGGATCTTCCAATTGTTTGGTGACTAAATTCCACACCCGAACCTTCGCTCGAGGCTGATGTGTCTCGTCCAGAGACTGCAACAAAAGGTGATGATTCAAAATGACAGGGTTATTTGAATTCTGCTGCACCGTAGGATGTTTGATGACAAAGCTTTTGCCAACCCACTGTGTAGGGTCTCACCCTGCATTCCCCGTTTTTGTTTTTGAAGAACCCGCTTCAGAGTACCATGAGAGCGTTCTACAATAGCTTGGCCAGTTGGAGAATGGGGGACACCAAACTTGTGTGACACACCCCACAACTGCAGGAACTGCCGCACCTGCTGCGATGCATAAGCAGGACCATTGTCGGTTTTCACAGCAGAAGGTATGCCCAGAATGGCAAAGGCCTGCCTCCAGTGGGCAATGACATCACGAGCCTTTTCTCCAGTGTGAGCGGAAGCCCACATCGCAGAGGAGAACGTGTCCACCGTGACATGCACATACTTGAGCCAGCCAAACTCGGCAATCTGGGTGACATCGGTCTGCCAAAGCTCCAAGGCCCGAAGGCCTCTGGGGTTTACCCCTGCAGGCAGAGGTGCAGCAAGCACGTGACAGCCATCACACGACTCGATGAGTCTCATTTGCCATCAGCTGAAACTGCTTCTGCAAGGTATGAGCACTCTGACGGAAAAAGCCATGCTGAGAGACTCCAAGTCAGAAATACAATTTACTGGGAAAAGGGAAAAGAGACAAAATACATGCAATGATACAAAAGGCAGACCACCGACAAAGTCAGAATAAAACCTGACACCACTTTGGCCAGCATGTTGGTAGCAGTCCAAATTGGAGTGGCTGCAGTCCTCTTGGAATGGCAGATGTGGTTCTGTTGGAGCAGTAGTCCTGTAGAAAAGGTGCAGTTGGTCCAGTGGAAACCCCAGCTGTGTCCTCTTGGAAACCTGTGGGAAGGCTGCCTCTCTGTCTAGAAATCCCAGGATATATCTAGGTGGGAATGTTTAGCTCTTCCCCCCTGGGTGGAGATGTTATTCTGAGTCATGAGGTGTGTCTCTGATCACAGAACTGACTCCTGGAGTGTGTTATCTCTGAGTCATGTGGCAAGGCTTTGATGGGCCCATTAACAGGACATAAGGAAAACTGCCCAAAGGGCAACTGCTACACAGATGGTACTAGAAAACGTCTTGTCTTTCAATCTCGGACAGATGGCTTGGCCTGCGCGAGTGTGTCAGGCTGAGGTGCTGCCCATGCTGGGTTAGCCAACTTGTCAGCCCTTGCATTACCTTCTGCTACAAACCTTGGCAAATTGGTGTGACTCCTTGCATGCAGAATGTATTACAGATGTACCCGGGCCTGAATGGCACATCTCAAGGTCTTCAGTAAATTAAACAAGGCAGGATTGCTGACCTCCTTCAAAACCGAATGACCCAACCGCTGTGCAATGTCAGCCACATAGGCAGAATCCATGACCAAATTGAAAGGTTCCTGGGAACGTTTCTCAAATGCCATAACAGCAGCCCTCAATTCAACCAATTGGGCTGATCCATCCTCATGACCTTCCAGGACTTGCCACTCAGATCCGTCCCTGCAAGTAACAATGGCCTTTCCTGTCTTCCCCGAACCATCAGTGAAGACAGTGGGTCCTTGCACTGGCTCCTGACTATTTTTGGGCCACAAAGATATTTGTGTGAATTTTGCCACCTGCAGTAGCTTGTGGCTAGGCAGATGGTAAGTGATCTGCCCTGAAAAGTTTTCCAGAGCACTTTGCAGGGACACACAGTGTGCAAAGCTCCAGTCAAAGTCCTCCCGGGATATCGGGAGTATGATCTTTGCAGGATCCACACCCATCAATTGCAACAGTGTTGCCGGCATTTGATTATCAAGCGAGCAATGAGCTCCAACAATGCAGTTGCCATCTTCTGTGGCTGATGGGGCAGGAAAACCCATTCCAGGATGTGCAAAGAATCAGACCATTTGTAATTCCACTGGCCAATGATGCCTGTGAGATGTGAATCTGGAGTGGTAACAAACACAGTGACATTAACGGAAGGATCAATGTGATAAACCTGGCAAACAGAAACAGCTTGCTGAACCTCCTCCAGCACCTGATGTGCCTCAGGGGTCAATGTATGAGGTTATTTTAAATCAGAGTCTCCCTTTAACAAATCAAACAGAGGAGACAGTTGTGTGTTGGTGAGTTTCAGGTACAGATGTAACCAAGTGATGACACCTACCAATTTCTGGGCATCGTTCAGTGTCTTCACTGAATGCACAAATTTCACCTCCTGGTGTCGGATTGTCTGTTCCAGAATTTTGACCCCCAAATACTTCCAAGGAGGTTGCTGTTGAACCTTTTCTGGAGCCACCTGCAGCCCATGAGCATGCAAAGCATAGAGCAACCGAGGCTGAATCCTCAGCAGCTCATCCTGGGTGGACACAGCCACCAAAATCTCGTCCATATAGTGATAAAGATGGGCATCAGGAAACTGCAAACTCCAGACGAGGCACAGGCCACATACCATTGGCATAAGGCAGGAGAATTGCACATGCTCTGGGGCAAAAATCTCCATTGATATTGCTGTGTGTGCTCAGCATTGTTGATTGCTGGTACCGAGAAGGCAAATTTTGGTCTGTCATCAGGATGCAAAGGAATTGTAAAAAAACAATCCTTCAAATCCACAATGAGGATCGGCCAGTCTGTGGGAAGCATGGTAGGTGACAGCATGCCCATGCAATGTTCCCATGCTTTCCATCACGGCACTGACCTTTCAGAGGTATGTAACAACCTCCATTTCCCAGATTTCTTCTTGATGCAGAAGAGAGGAGTGCTCCAGGGACTGGTAGAAGGCTGCAGATGACCCTGGTCCAACTGGCCCTGCACCAGGTTTCGAAGGGGGACTAATTTGTCTTGAGGGAGGGGCCACTGGTTCTCTCAGACGGGTCTGTCCACCAGCCACCGTAAAGGAAGTGTAGGACACTCTGCGCTCTTCATCACAGTGGTCCCCATCAAAAAATCCGTCCCGATGTGCACCCCCTAGTGGACAGAACAACCCTTCCCCAGAGGTTAAAGCTCACTGAAGTAATGTGAGGCCGAATCATGGCCGTCTGTCCCTCTGGGTTTGCGATCAGCACAGGCTGCTGGCTCACATAGCAGCATGCTGTTCCTCCCAATCCCATAGGATCCAAGGGCCATTCCGGGGACCAGGTGGGAAGGGTGAGAACTGTGATGTCCACGCCACTGTCAAGAAGCCTGTGGAGACAAATCTCTGGCAGTGTCGCGCCAGGGATGGACAGAATACACAGCATCCTGGGACATTTCTCGGTCAGGATGGCAGACCAGTGAACTTGAGGTGACCCAGTGGATCCAAAGCCGCTGTCACCTTGCAACTGATCAGCTGTCCTGCGAACAGAAGACTTAAAAGGCACAAATTGAGCAATTTGTGTCCCCTTCGGGATAGTGACGGGGGGGGTGGGCGTAGAGACCATGGCAAAAATCTGTGCCATGAAATCTGCATCAATTAAATCCCACTTGCACAATGATGCCCTGAAGGGTGGCACTAGATCTCCCCACAAGGAGAGCAATCATGCCCTCACCCAATGGAGCAATAGCACCAAGGGAACCTTATGGATTTTGCCAGAATCTATGACAACTGTTGCTGCTGTGCAGACATCAACACCTGCTGAACCTCGGGTGCTGGCTGCAAGCCAGCTAGCAGACCTCCATCGGATCTGGGTTGTTGAGAGAAGCTTGTGTCTGGGTACGTGCCCCCTTCACGCTCTGATTCCTGTTTCCCGAGCCCAGCAAAGCCTGGCCATTAGCATGAACAGTCACCTTGCAGACATTTGCAGTATGGTTGGGCCTTCCACACTGACCACACAAAAACAAGGGAGTTGTGCCCTGCTGTACCTTCTTTTTTCCTTTCTTGCTGGCCTGAGCATATCCCTGCTGCTGCTGCCCACCCTGTGGCACTGTCCAGACTGACTGCACAGCAGTAGCCATGGCAGGCTGCACAGGGGCAGCCAGGGCGGGCTGCAGCGTAGCAGCTGAGGCAGCTATCCTACAACCTGAGGTGCCTACCTTTGCACAAGCCTCTGCTATCTGAGGGACAGAAGGATCACCAGGAAGAGCCTCTATGATTCTCCTACAATCGGCATTGAAATCAGCATTGCAGTTACTTCTGGCAACGTGTTTAAGCAAAAGCTTTCTTGCCTCAGGATCTCCCACCTTCTTCTCAACAGAGGCAGACAGCCTGTCTGCAAATTGTAGGAAAGACATCAGCTCCTGTCTTGGTTTGAAAAGACAGGAGTCTGTGAAGGAAGGCAAAAGCCTCCTGTGAAATGGAAAACGTAAACCCTCTCCCTCCAAATTACCACAATTTCAAATTTAAAAGGCTCTCAGGCAAAGATATGGGAATGGGAATAACAGTTCTTTAGTAAGGGAAAAAAAACTAAGTTAAAAAAAATGTAATTGGTACAAACAAAACTACTGATAGAGTCAGAAACCTGACACCCTGAGGAGTCAGGGTGTTGGTAGTAGTCCAGTTAAATGGTGGCGGCTCCTCCTGGAGTGGCAGATGAAATGCTGCTGAAGCGGTGATCTGTAAAAGAACGGAGTTTTCTCTGAAGGTCAGTTGGGCCTGGTCTTCCTCTGGGAATCCATCGGGGAAGAGAGCTGCTCCTCTGGGAATCCAGCGAAGAGGCTGTTCTGATGTACCAAAAAATGCTGATTTTATGCAGGTAGGAATGCTTGGCTCCTCCCTCTGTGTGGAACATCTCACAATGGGATAATGTAACTTTACCAGTCATGCAGTGAGTCATTCAATGGCCCATTAACAAAAGATATCTCCCCGGAAGGAGATATTGTTCTTGGAAGAGATAAGAAAACTGCCCAACCTCCAACAGATGGCAAGAGAATACATGCTTATCTTACAAGCCAGGACAGCTCCCTGGACAACAGTCACAAAATACTCCTTTGGAGCAACCACTTCTATGGTCTGAACCAATGCTGCCACATCTATTGTGTGACACTGGACAAGCACCAGGGCATCAAAACCAACCTGCCCATCAGGACCAGTATAATTGCCAGTGCCCATCAATACATCGGTACTAATAACCCACCTGGGATCCTGTTGACCCAGCGTAGTATTGTGAACCCCTGCTTTGGCTGCCAACTCAGCACATTTGGTCTCAAAAATGTCATACTGCACAGTCTGAAAAAGAATATGAACCAAATTCCTAATATCATAAGGGGTCAAGGTGTCAGCCGCAAGTACCCTAAGCAGCTGTATAACTTCAACAGACTCCAGACCATATTTTCCAACTCTATCACTGAGTTCCATCAGAGCCTTCCTTAATAAGGGCTGATGGGTGTTAACTGCACCTCTAATCACAGGGAACACCTGAAAACCACCCAATAAGGTACCATTACCTTTTGCATCCCGTCCCATGGGCACCACAGGGACAGGGACAGATGCCTGTCCGGGAGTTGGCTCAACACCACACAATGTTGTGCGCCCTGCAGCATCAGCAGGGACAGAAAGCCCATCTCTGTAATCTGGGAGGCCACGCTCAGGGGCAGAATCAATCATGTCATTGACTTTATCTTTGACCTCACGCCAGAATCGCCTGTGCTCTCTCGGAGGCATGGTGACCTGACATGGAGGGAGTGTCCATAGAGCTGCAGAGGAACCCCCAGTCCGGGACCCATGGTCCCGGGAAAGCACAGGTCTCCCACCGGCCACGGCATCATTCGCAGCAAATTCGAACACCACAGTGCCCACAGCTGCTGCAGCACCAGTATCCACGGGAGGGATGGGCCGCGGAGTTGGCCCAGCCCGCTCCCAGGTGCCCCTCACAGCCCCCAGGCACGGCACCCAAAAGCTGCCACCCATAACACGGGTGGAGCAGGCTGTGCCATCCGCTGCCCAGGGCGGGCTCCAACTGAAGGTCAGGCCACGACCCGCCCCCAGCAGCTTCCCCCGCCCCGCCTGCGCGCCCGGCTGAGCTGGCCCAGAGGTGGCCAGTGACACTGACCTCGGGCTAGCAAGCAGTGAGGGATCGTCAGAGTCCGCCCCCCCCCCCCCGCCCCAACCCGTGCCTGGAGGAAATGTAGTGGACTGGTTTGACACAGAAGATAATTTTCTGAGGAAGCTGGGGTCAAAACAATCAGCGGTCAGGTTTGGATACTGGCAACTGGAGTGGCCACTGAAGGCTGGACACGCCTCTGAGAACACAGAGGGGTTAAAAACCAGAACTCCCAGGGGAACTTTCTCTCTTTCGTTCTGGTCATCAGAGAGTTCAGATTCTCCCCTGCCCAGCCACGGGCTGGGTGGGGAGGGACAACCATGCACGCAGGCTGAGGTAGGCCAAAGGGTGAAGGGACTGGAACCGAGCCAGCTCCTGCGGGGGGGAAGTGTGGCGGAAGGCTGAGATGTCTTTGTTCCACGCCCCCCCACCCCACAGGGGAAGAGACAGAGAGCCTGAAGACACCTGGAAATTCTCCAGCTGCCGAGGAGAAAGGCGGGGGGAGGTGCCCAGCATGGGAGCTGGAGTCTGGGCTGAGATTTCAGCAGTCAGGGGAGTCAGGACTTTTAACCCTTCCTTGGGAAATGAAAGCTTTGTGAAATATTACTCCTCCTCGACTTGAAAGAGAAGAAGAGAGACAGTCTGGAATCTGAGAAATTCTAGGTGGGAGGCGATGATGGAGTGGCTTTTGGCTAGACTTTTCTTGTATAGCCATAGACTGAACCAAATTTCTCCTGCAAGAGAGACTGCATTTTAGGGGGATGCATGGTGAACGAAGACACCTGCTTCAGCAGCTGAGAGTGACTGGAGTGGTGCGAACAGAGAAAAGTTAGGGAGGTTTGTGATGGTACCCCCTGTCTTCTGAGAAGAAGTGAAGAAGCTGTCTGTTCCTGGACCCTCAGCCCCAGGGGAAAATGGGGGAAGGACTGTGGTCCCAAAAATGAGAAACAGAACTGCTGTTTTGCTTTGATCCTTGGCAAAGCATCCTTGAAAATGAAATGCGGATGAAAAATCAAAACCCCACAATTCTAATACAGATTTGTAGTGACAGTATGTTTATTGCAGTGCTGGACGCACACCAGGATTTCTCACGCAGCAGGGATTTTCCTTCAAAGGGTATGCGTACCTCTTAGAACTCCTGACTCTTTTTTATTACCCTTACTAATTTCTATATGTATAGAATTTCACAATAGGTCCATGCATATTCATTCTGCTGATTTCTTGTTACACTTACAGCTGGTTACACTTGTACTTAGTTTTTGTCAGAAAGTACAGAAAGAACTATTGGGTTACTCTGCTATATAGTGTAATATAGTTATAGTATAATATAGTATAATAAAGTAATTAATTAGCCTTCTGATATCACGGAGTTCTGTGCACCATTCTTCCCAGATGTCGGTAACGATAGCCTCCCTTGCTTATGCATATGCATAGAGTCTCATGCATATTCATTTTACTGATTTTGTGTTACAAGTTGCAATCAGTTTTTATCAGTCCTTGCCCTTTGTGCAGAGAGCTCTCAGTCAGCCTCAGCCTTTGTCCCCCACAAAGGGGCCTGTGGTAGGTAAGGGACAGGCGAACGGAAGATCTCGGAATGTAACGGAAAGATAGACCCCTCCCCCTCTCTCTCTCCCCCACGCTATCTATCGACCCCAGGAGCCTCAGAAGAATGCAGCCACACCTGCCCTGGTAAAATTCCACTACCCGAAAAACCCCTGAGACCCCCAACCCCCCTCTGACGCAGCAAAATCCCCCAAAACTATTTAAACCCACGAGATAGGATAATAAACGCTTTTCAACCGTCTGCCATATTGGTGTCTGCGTGTGTTGACTAGCCCGAGCAGCCTGGGCGAGGCCAGGCTGCCGTGCTGTTCCCTGAACCAGGTCTCTGGTTGTCTTTTATAAAGGCAACATACTGGTGCCGAAACCCGGGAGAAAAGAAGAAAAAAGAAGAAAAAAAAAAGGAAAAATTTGCCCGGTGGACGGGATACACCTGGACAGAAGCAGCGGCCGGAACGGTCGGACCGTATCTAGGCGGAGGGGAGACGTCCCCGGGGCCCGCGAGTGTCATGGACAGCGTCGCATGGGCCGTGAGTATGAAGCAATGGAGTATCGCGTTTAAGCTCAGGGACTTTTATCTTGCTATAGCAAGGCTGCCTGGGCTTGGAGCAACCGAATGCTCAGTGGATGCCATGCATCCGGGGATATGGGAACAGTGTACAGCCACACTGGCCGGGGAAACGAAATCCTCAGACAGTGGCAAGAACGTTACAGCACGGAGCAAGGTAGAAAAAACCCCGCGCAAGGCAATAGAAAAGCAAGAGACGCGGAGTGCAGCGCATATGTGTTTATTAGTTAAACCCGAGCTCGGGACGGGGGCGAAAGCGCGGACCGTCCCTGAGGAGGGTCCACCCGGGAGCGGAGACCCGGAGGGGCTCAGCGCGGCACCCCCTCCCCCGGATCAGAGCGCAGCCCGGCCCCGCCGCGGAGCGGAGCCCAGCCCGGCATAAAGAACCGCTGCCGCCGGAGCCCGGGGCGGTGCGTTCCGAGCGGCGCGGCCCCGCTCCCGCCGGGGCGCGTTCCGAGCGGCGCGGCCCCGCTCCCGCCGAGACCCGGACCCGCCCGCGGCCCCGCGCCGCTTCCCCGCCAGCGAGCCGAGCGGAGTGGCACCGAACCCCACCGCGGCGGCCCCCCAAGACACCCCCGCCGCGGAAAACCCCCGGGAAACCCCCGCCGCAGAAAAACCCCGAGAAGCCGCCGCTTCCCAATCCGTCCCGCCGCCGCCGCCGATCAGAGATCCGCTGTCGGAGGCGCAGCCGTGCGCGGGGCGCTTTTGGCGAGAGCCGGCGGGAGAGGCCGGAGTCGCAGGGGCCGCGGCTCCGGGGGAGTCCCGGGCCACCCGGCCATGCGGCCGCTTTGAAAATGGCGCCAGATGCCGCGGAGGGGGGCGGAGCACTAGTAGTCTCGGCGCGAAAACTCAAAAACTGCGCGATTTCAGGGGCGCGCGCGCGCGGGAGAAAGGGGCGGAGAGTGGCTCGGGGCACAGAGCCAATCAGCGGCCGCGCCAGGCGCCGCCACCATATAAGGGAAAAACCACCCCCCGCGGGGGGCGCGGCGAGCCGGGGGGGCGGGAGCGGCGCCACCCCCACGGGGAGGAGCGAGCTCGGGGCCGGACAAAACGGCGCGGAGCCCCGGAAGTGCTCTGGCATTTGGCTTCCGGCGCGGAGCCTAGCGACCGGTCTGCCGGCTCCTCCGAGCCGGCAGAGGCCGGCCGGAACCCTAAAACGGAGAGAACAAAGCCATCGCGATTCAAAACAGAACCGAATAGAGTTCTAAGCCGCACCGAAAAACAGTCACAATACCCCTTAGAGCTGCGG